CCCCAAAACCCCAAAACCCCAAAACCCCATAGTGAAATATTTAAATAAGGAAATAGATAATTTGATTTTTAAAATCAAATTAAAACATTGGCATTAAACTTTAAAATATGAACATTCTCGGCAATTTGCTTTAGGCAAGTTAAGAAAAGAAACACGAGTCACCATCTAGAAAGATTCTATCGATGCAGTTTTCAACATAATCAATGTCAAAGTTCTTCAATGACGATAATGTGCAGAACTTCAAGAGGAAAGTGATAAGAAAGATTTAAAACAAGTTTTCGACTGAGAAGGTGATGATGATGCTGGACAAGGAGAAGTTGGAAGCTCTTGAAGAGGAATTTGCAGAGCATCCAGAAGGTTTAGAATTACAGAATTTCGTGTGGCTGATGAAGTCAGCAATGTAGCATACCCCCGAGGAAGAGTATGATTTAGTTCATGGACTTTGTAAATTATTTAACGAGATCGACATCAATGGAGATCAGCATATGGAATGGAAGGAATTTACACAGTACATAATTGATGCAGTCATGCAAAATTAGGTAGCTCTCGAGAACCAGAAGGACAATGAAAAGGAAACTAAACATATTGAGCAACAGCTGACTGGGGATGATAGAGAACTCACTGAGATACAAAAATTGCAATAAAAGATCGATTTGCTTGAATAAGCTGAGAGTTTCAAACTACCCAGATTTTATATTTCAAAGTAATTGGACAAAGCTGTGCATCTAGGACATATTCAAAAAGCCATATTCTGCCAAAGATTCGATATGATACTAACAATGGAGAATATGTAAAAAGAATTAAAGTTATACTCTCCTGATTGCAAGTTAAAACTGAAATTAGAACCTCAATTCAAAAGAGAAGCATTTATCCTTTCATGCGCTTATGATGATGAAAAAGGAGTCTTTGGCTGTGTAGCCAGTGACTCCTGCATGTATTTCTGGGAGAGTCAGCTATCCTAGTTAAACATAAAATTTCTTAAGTCTCTCAATGCTCCATGCATTCAAACTGGTATTTGGTTTCTGCCGAAGCACAAGACTTGGATTACTGCAGGCAAAGATAATGTTATCAGAGAATGGGATATTTGGAAGGGCTCAACAGCTGACTGCTTGCTAGTATCATTTGAAGATCACAAGAAGGATATCATGGATGTTTGTGAAATTCATTCGCCACTTGCCATAGCGACTGCAAGCTTTGACAAAACTATCAGAATATTCAATCTTCAAGAGAAGATTGCGATTGGAGTGTTGAAAGAGCATAAAAAAGGTGTTAGATCATTGAACTATACTCCTTTTCACGGAGGCAATATTCTTTCAGTTGGTCATGAAAACTACATTAATGTTTGGAGTCCAGAAGGTTCAATTAACAGAAGTCATATCGGAAAACTTGAAGGACATAATGCTCCAGTTGTGTGTGCTAAGTTTATAAATCAAACGCCATTTTGTGTTTCAGTCGATGAAAAAATGAATGTGAGGATATGGGATATCAGAACACTGTAATGTCAATAAATTATTTCTTATGAGAGCAAGTCAAAATTGCCAGTCCAGGGTTTACTTATTCTTCCTCAGACCAGAAAATTCGCAGTTCTATCTAAAAGGTTCATTTTTTATGATACAATTAGCAATGATGATAATAATATGTAAGGAGGAAATAACCCTGGAGCCTAGAAATAGTAATCACAGTCCTAGAATAGTAATATTAAAGGAGGCTAGAATATAGAAAGTGCCACTGCACAAATAGCTTAGATTATTAAGTAGTCATAATCCAATCCTTAGCATGAAAATATGTATGCTATTGATACTAGATTCAACGAATATTACAGAAGCTTTGTAGTAGTTACTAAAAATGAAATCAGGACATATGATGGATTAACTGGTAAGCTTATAAAGGTCTTTTCAGAAGTAATCGATAAAAGAACTAATGCTGAGCTGTCTGCATTTTGTCTAGACAATAGACACAGAAAATGCTATTTAGGTGATATTGCTGGTTCTATTAGAGTATTTAACATTAGCAATGGAGTATTTATCAAGCATGTAAATCATGAAGACGACAATCAACTAAGAATAAAGAGAAACCAATTGCTAAAGAAAGATAAGGCAAAAGAGATATCTAATTTGGATTTTGTAAACTTTAATGACTACTTGATGCTACTTTCGACATCATGGGACTCCAAACTTAAAGTCTATGACGAAGAAGACCCAGAAGAAACCCTGATGCTCAGAAAGTCAACAGGAGGTCATTTCAAAGATGATATCTCTGCTCTTGCATTCAATGAACATTTAAGTTTAATAGCAACAGGCAGTAGATCCGGTATTGTTTGTATATGGGATTTCGAGACTAATAAATTAGAGGGAATTCTACTTGCATAGAAAAGGGCAGTATCCTCAATTAATTTTGTTAAAGAATATCCCATTTTAGTAAGCACTGGAATATGTGGAGTAGTTTCAATTTGGGGTGTTAGACCTTGTCCTTATGAACTCAGACATGTTTGTATTGGCAGATTTTTAAATCTTGCTTGGGATGGGGAGAACTTTACAAACATTGGAATAACATGCTCTTACGTTAAAGTCATTGAAAATTCTTCTCACAGTAAAGAGTAATTAATTTCAAAGTAGAAAACACTAAATCCGAAGAAAGAAGAGGATAAAGATTCATTAGAGAAATAATACGATGAAGAATTCATTAAAGAGGCTTATGATGCTACATTTGAGGTGTAAAACAATGAATAAATTGAAGTATTTGTGACTGAATTTAATAAAATCAAAGAAGATAATGATAATGAGGAAGGAACATTCCACAACAAAAACTTTACCTATTAGAATAGATCGTTCTAACCTCCAAAAAATGATCATCATAGACCTAAATGCTTTTTGATTCTCGGTGATGAAAAAGGATTCATTAAGCAATGGGATCTCTCAGTATTTTTACATCATAGTATTAACAATCCAGTCTAAGTTCCTCCTTGTGTCACTAAAGCTCCTTCAATGAACGACAAATTATCTTACAATGCTAAAAGAAAACAAAAGATAGATGCCAGTAATATAGCAACTTCTCATTTGCAATAGGCTAAAGAGCAAAAGTTGCCATCGATACTTGACGCTAAATAATGTGTTTAAATAAAGGAATACAAGGCTCATAAATCATAACTGAACTCAATAAGGGAAATATACTGTGCTCCTTATGGCTTTATGAGTACTAGTATGGATAAACACGTCAAGATATGGTCACTACATGGAAAACTATGGGGTGACATCTATTTAATAAAAGAGAACTATGATAAAAACTGGTGCTTTCCATTTAACTGGAAGTCAATTAGAAATAATGAGGTTGAATAAGCTAGAAAAGTCCTTAACTAGATTAGGGAGACTTAGGTAAAGAACAATTTTTAACTTAATGAGCCAACATAAAATGATGTAGAAGAGGTAGTAGAGTTTGATGATGATTTAGAACAAGTATTAAAAGAGTAACAAAGAAAAAACAAAATATAGTAAATGCTTCTAACTCAATAGCAAAATGAAAATGAGGCGAATTAAAGAGAGGGATATTTCAGTAGGAAGTCAAATAGTCACAATCAGCAGTAGTAAAACTAACAAAATAAAAACAAGACTCAGGGTAATTCTGCTGTAAGTGTTGAAGCTGTGCCGCAGTATTATGTTACTGCCACACATCCATTACTAGCAAAGGATTTTGGCTAAACGGAAGACTACAAGAGAAAAATCAAAAGAATGTGTGAAGGTCCTGCAAAGTTTTATACTGGCTTTGTATTTGACTTAGAATAAGACTTGCTTACTCTACAAACGAGATAAAAGCATTTAAATGAACAAAAGAAGAGATAGTCTAAGCATCTATCGATAAAACCTACTCAAAAATAAAGTATGACTTCAAGAGGGGGCTCAAATAAGATACCATTGTTGAATCTTTAAGATGGAAGCTAATAAGGTACTACTTTTGACAAAAATTCTGAGAAAGAAAGCTAAATGAGTTTCAAGATGAAATAAATCAGAGAAGAGGAGTAGCATGAAGCAGTAGCAACCAGCAAATACCAAGTAGTCACTGATAACCTAAAATCAAAGTATCTTGAACCCCTGGATAAGTATAAGAATTATAAAGAGTCACAAGATTCTCAGATAACTATCAATGACTAAAACCCTAATGGATGGCTAACTGAGAGAGTTGACAGAAAGAAAAGTATAATATTCAATCCAAATACAATTGAACACGATAAGATTACTAATGCTACAACTGGTGGGCCAATAACATAATAAAACTCCATTAGAAATCTAAAATCATCTATTAATGAGAAGCACACTTCGACTTCTCAGTTGCCTATCTATGCTGCCAAAGCTTCAAAGTAAATCTAAAGAATTTAGTTACAGTAAAACTAACTTGCTTAATTAACTAGTCTAAACAGCCCAAACAATGATAAATTCAACGACATGATCTAAACTCAGAGATATTCAACGACTAACAGAGACTCTAGCAACAATCTGCTAAAATAACTTACCTCAAACAAATCCAATTCATCTTAGAGAAGATTAATAATTGGATTTGAGGCAAATAAGAACATAAATGGAAATTTCTTAAGAAAGCTTGATCGTATGATATCAGTCAGTTCTAGACCCAAATCCAGAGTATCATAGCATGTCGAAGATGTCAAATATGCTCCTGGAGAGGGTATTAAACAAATGGCTAAAGCAGTCACAGCTCTCAATGACATGAAATATTCAGAGGTGAAGCCAACAAGTGCTACCTTAGCTATAGAGAATGGTGTGCTTCAACAAAGCAGAAGTGAACTAAGATCAAGAGTTGAGTCAAAGAGAATAATAAACAATCGTATTATTCTTAAAGAGAGAGAAAGAAGGAAAAAAGAAGTAGAGGATTTGACTCAAGGATATGGTATGAATTTATGACAGGAAAAACTATTGATAAAAATTGATTTAATTACATAACCTTGATTTCATGATAATGAATATTAGTATAGAATATTAACTAGTTAGTTTCTTAGTATTATATTTTATAATAATTTATTACTAATTTTTAAAGCCCTCTTCAAAGTCTCACCTATGGACGCATATAATAATAGAAGAAATAGAGATAATAACACCCAAAAATAATTACTTAATTCCAATCAAGACGACCCTTAAAATTAACTGTCAAGCTCTCTAAACAACATGAATGACAGCAAAGGATTCGGGAGCTCATGGGACTAATAGCTAGGACAGCATGGAGAGGCATCTTATATCAGAAAAATCAAAAAAAGAGATCTCCATTCCTTCTTGAAGTGCCCACTATGCACTGGGTTCTTTCGGGATGCACATACAATTAACGAGTGCCTGGACACATTTTGCAAAAGCTGCATTTACAAATATTTCTACGAAGATCAGAATAAAGAGAAATGCCCTAAATGTAGCACATAACTTGGCGGGAGGCCCCTCGAAACCATAATCTCAGATCAAACAATCTAAAAAATTGTTGATCTGCTTTACCCATAATTCAAAAAGAAAGATGAGCAGGCTATCAAGATGATGTACCAGGCATTTGCAGACACCAATCCACTCCCTAAAGATAGAAACCTTATTGACTATGGATTCGAGGATTATGATACAATAAATGAAGCTGGTAAAAAAGAAAATAATGATAAAATGCAGTGAGTGAAACATTAATAATCAAACAAGTAAAAGAGTTATTAATTTACTACTTTCTTATAATAATTTCCAATATTCAGTACCTCTCTAAAATTATCTCTAGTGGGGTTTTGGGGTTTTGGGGTTTGGGGTTTTGGGGTTTTGGGG